TCTCCTGTTTAAATATTTAAAAAAAACTTTTTCCCCTGCTCTCTCTATAAAAAGATTAATCTCGAGATAAAGGCTTGATTGTTTTTTTTTCCTCGGTGGTATTAAAACAACGATAGGAAAGTTGAGAACAAAAAAAAATCAAAAACGTTAAGCCTGAGATTTGAATCTTTTTACGCTTCGAAAACACATCGAAAGCCTTTAAAAGCCCAGATTTTTCCGAATTAACACCTTTTTTTCTGTTATCCCCGTTGGGTTTTGAGCCGAACGGACCGTCGAGATAATAATTATGCAAATTAGATGTGTTATGTACGCAACCGATGCACTTTCATATATCCTAAATCCCTCCTCGGTCGAACGCCAGCGTAGTAAAACGAAAGGAATTTATCTAATTTTCATAAGTATTTCTCAACATAAATGTCAGTCTTGAGCAACGAGAACACCATAAGTTCCGCCCGGAGCATTTCGGACTGTAAAACAGAAAATATATCACGCATATTTCCTAATCCAATTAGCCTTAAATCCAATTTTTGCAATAAAACGTCTTGTTTAACGGCACAATTCATAAAATAATTGGAGAAATAGGATGCCAACTTAACAATCAAAGTTACAAGGGGAAGCTATAGACATAGGAATACCGATTTTAATTAAAATTTTGGTGATCTAGATTAAAAAATATTAGACACGTATTCGAACGTTTTATGAACTTATGCTTTGCTTACGCTGTATGAAAATATCTGCCCTTATTTAGCTTTTTAAACATATCTCGTGGTTCTTTATACATGGATCTCTGCATGGAAAATTTATCGTGTGGGGCCTAGAAGTTTCGCTAGGTCAAAAATTGTTCTTTGTCTCGTCCTTCCCATTTTATAATCTAACTGTATGCCACAATGTCCCCTTTATTCGTTTTAGGGTTTTTATTGTTCCAAAAATCTCTTACTATTTTCATTTGGTAGTGTCAAGATTTCTTGTAATTTCATTTTATAATAGCCATTTCATTTGTATACTTGTTACGATTTTATTATGGCTTTCTCTTAGATAGGGTTGTATCTTACAATGTGTTACAAACTAAGTGAGCTTTAAAAAATTTAATTCTGTACATAAACACTATACGAGAAACTGTAATAAAATAGTTCCTGAACGGTTGAACCTTAAAAGATGTTAAAATTGTTGTAAATATTGTGCTATAATTTTTTTAAAAAAATAATCTACAAGATGATGTCAATCGTTCAACTGAAAAAAATTAAACTTTAAGTATAAAATTCCTCACTGTTAATGCTTTTTGTGACTTTTGAGGAGTTTTTTCATGTATTAATAGCGGAATATGAATGAATTAATTCGTGCTATTTTTGACGAATGTAATGTCAAAATTTGTATTTTGTTTACTTAACACGATAAAACTTTTGTATCTTTATAGCTAAAACGGGGAGAGCCATCTTGTTACAAAAAGCATACCCCCTCACGCTTCTTCCATCGAGCATAACTCAAAAATGGTCGATTCTGTCAAAATTTTCCTTCCAGTAAAAGTGTCATAAAATTGTACAATAAAAATGTGAGATTCTAATTTTAAAAATGTCATTACCCAGATAGATGGGGAAGTTATGTTAAATCTGTTACCACCACGCGATTCCTAGCCAAAATTAACTTGGGGTTTGTATAAGACCATTTTTTTGCTCAAGTTAATCGTTTCCGAATTCAATGGGGGGATTGTAGAAGTTGATATTGGGTTGTCCGGAAAATAATGCAGGATTTTAAGTTTTCATTAAAAAAAATCTATATAAAATATTCTGTTTACGTTTACAGGATTACTCANGAGAAATGTATTGAGAGTATGGGAAATTATTTTGATTAAAGAACATTGCTTTAAAGTAACTAGTTTCTTTTTTTTTGTTTAATACCAAAATCCTGCATTATTTTCCAGACAACCCAATACATACACCCTATAGCCTCATTTATTTTCAAGATCGTCTCTATTCATTAAATATTTTTTGGATTAGATAGAATGTTTTACACGGCGTTTCAAGTTAGAAGTCTTTTTTTCACATGCTAACTAGACGGTAGTTAGCAAGATTTTGCAATCCAGTTCAACCAAGTCGGACATTCCGGAAGACATCTTTCTTTCACGCATCGGAAGAATCGGCCCGTGAACGCCAAGCCATTGTTTCTTTTTATAACAACGAATTTGTTACATAAAAAAATAATTTTTCAAATGACGCGTGCGGAAACGCTGTCCTATATGTGATGTGACGGAGGTGAAAAAAAATTCCTTTTTTATTTTTTCTACCAATATTTCGGTCTTTGTCGCGATTAGTCGCGGTTCTCATTGTCGCGCTCCGGGCTACTGTTTCATTCCCACCTACGAAATGACATTTCTACCAGGGTTTTCACTTTCTGAAGAGAGTTCTTAGGCACGTAATGACGCCGCTATTCATCACCTTCCTGATAAAATCCGTCGGGTTGACAATGAACGCGAACACGGCACACGAGGTCTCTTCCGCTATTTCTAATTCAGAACTGAACTGAACCTGAAATAAGCTGAAAGTTGAGCTTTTTCCGTGTTCTTAGAACTATGGGTGGTGATGTAAATCTCTAAACCAAATCAATCAATTTTTTCCATTTCATAACATTCTTGGGGTTTATGAATGTCTTTTTAATATCATTATTTTTTATAAATAAAATAAACCCGTTAATATTATTTAAAGTATAAAGAAAATTTGCATGACTTGTAAACTGAAGCATTTTCACTATAGCATTTAAATTCATTTCCTTTATCGAACTTTCCACTTTAATCCATTTCATTCATCAGGGCTATGAAACTTTTATATATACAGTGTGTTCGGCAATGCGTGTTGCAAACTTTGTCTGTAGATTCTACATTCAAAATGGAACCAAAAAGTCCTAATTAACTATGTCCGAATCTCAGCGGTTTCGGAGTTATTCCACTTTTTCTGATTTTTTAAGATTTCACGACCTTGCTTCAAATAAAAAATAATTCCAAAACTAAAATATTTTGAACAAATCCGTAGATACCATTGAAAACTACGTTAAATTTCCAATAAGATGTGATCATTACTAAAGTTGTAAACGTTGGTGAAATAAGTGTTTTAGTAGGTAAAGCTTTGAAAAATAATTTTTTTTAACTCAAAAACTAAAAGGTTTTGGACAAATCTGTTTATACCATTGAAACTTCGTTAAATTTCCAATAAGGTGCGATCAATATTAAACTTGTAAACGTTCGTGAAATAAACGTTTTCAAAGTTGAAAAACTTACTATGGTGATTCTAAACTACTACTTCCAATCCTGAATATCAGCAAATTTCAGAAAAAGTACTCCATTTAAAATCCTTTTTAGTGGTGCAATTGCTTTTTTCAAAGATGAAGAAATTGAAGAAGGTAAAGAAAAAACCGTGGCTGATAGATTGGGAAAGTGGAAAATTAAAAAAAAATACTTAAGGAAATTTTGAATGAAATTATTAAACTTTTTTTTTAAATTTTGGTTTGAAACCGAAATAGTGCAAGTGTTTACTGATTTACCAACGTGACTACAACTTTGATTAAAGGATTATTGTATTATTATTCTCCGGAATAAAAGAGTTTTAAGATTCAAAACATTTTTAGTTATCTATGTGAATACTACGTCTACTTTTTCTATTGAAGTACTCGCTGATGTACAGATGATCTTATGTAAAGATTTTGCTGGTTTAATGCAAGGCAGCGCATCAAAAATACATTGCAAAGGGTGGAGAGCAGAGCATATAGAAACAAAATTTAAAAAAGTTTAATAAATTCATTCAAAATTTCCTTAGTTTTTTTATTTTTTATTATTATTAATCTGTCCACGTTACCAATCCTTCAACCACGGTTTTTCTTTACCTTCATCAATTTCTTCATCTTTGAAAAAAGCCATTGCACCACTAAAAAGTATATTAAATGAAGTAAGTTTTCTGAAATTTGCTGGTCTCTACGTTTGAAAATAGTAGTTTACTTACCATACACTTACCATAGTAAGTTTTTCAACTTTGAAATGTTTTTTAAAGTTAATATTGATCACACCTTATTGGAAATTTAACGTGGTTTCCAATGGTATCAACAGATTTATCCAAAACCTTTTAGTTTTTGAGTTACCACTGTTTATTTGAAGCAAGGTCGTGAAATCTTAAAAAATCAGAAAAAGTGAAATAACTCCGAAACTGTGAGATTCGGACCATACTTAATCAGGACTTTTTGGTTCCATTTTGAATGTAGAATCTACTGGCAAAGTTTGTACCACGAGTAGCCAAATACTCCTCTCCACTCCTCTCCTCTGTGTGTGTGTGTGTTATAAATATATATTTGTAGCCTATAAAGATTTGTATATATTACAAATGTGGTCAATCAAGGCCATCATCAACTAAGGCGACGTGGCGAGTTCTTGTGCGGGGGATGTGTGGAGGGCTCGAACAGTACAGTTAGGATGGATCGATAGGTTGGTGTGAAATTTTTGGAATCATAAACCAATCGGTTCGTTGATAAAAGGAATTTTGAGGCCGCTGTGGATAGTGACGTTAGTGAGTAAATAGTTTTGACGATTTGTCTGAGGACTTTCGATTGGAAGGATGGGATGCAGCCCGTTATTATTTTTTCCAATAGAATTGATGATTTATGATTTACTTTATTTTAACTTTTTCCATGACTTGTTATGTAGCAATAGCCACATTAACTAAGCAGTAACTAAGCCAATGTAATTAACAGAATAGTACAATTAAGTAATTCATATTTAAATTAGAGATTAATGTAATTAATTTGCTTGTTACTACTTACTATTTTCCACTATTATCCAAATTCCACCTAGATCCAACTTATTAAAAATGGACAATAGGAAAGCATAATATCAAAAATAATTCAATAATATCCGAAACTTACCAGACAAGAATAACAAATCAACATATTTTTTTTGGTCAATGTTTGTTAAACCAATATTGTGTTAAAATATTATATATCAAAATAACTTTTTATTTTTTCAGGTAACTGAGCCATTTGCAGTTTATGGAATACTCACACCCAATATCACCCAATTATCTTCAACGCCGAGGCATTCCAATGTACAGAAAAACAGCCAAAGTACAAATTGGCAAAAGTTGTTGAAGGATGCTACATTCCAGAGTCTCATAAAACACACCGGCTTCACCCCCAGCCTGGACCAGAAGATAGAAACAGATCGACTACTTTGGGAAAAGATACAAGCGGCAAAGTTTTTGAGGAAGCCGAGCAAAGCCGAAGAAATGGACCGGGTGAAAATGGGTGTGCTAATCGACATGACTAGGGAAAATGGCCAGCTGGAATTCAGACAATCGGATCATTCATTTTACAACTGCCCCGAAGAAAAGTGCAAACCTATTCTTAACAAACTACTGGCAATTTGGAGAATGCAGAAGTCCGACACCAACAACATATGGATCAAAGTTAAAGTCCCTAGGAGTATTAATGACGATGTTTATGAATACAGTCCAAAATTTGGTCTGAAACCACTTAATATGGCTGACTCATACCTTTCGACAAAAATGAAATCTCTAAATAAGCATAATGTATGGAAGGGAACTGACGATAACAAACTTCTCCATACCGAAAGAATTCGCATGGTCAATGATGGCAGAATCAGCAGGAATGATAGGCAGTTTTATGAAATGCATGATATGTTTATACCACCTATTAAAAAACAAAGCAATTATCAAAACCCCAAGAGAATTTCATTTTCGACAATTCAAGCCCCGATTGCTCATAATCTACCACTTATCATAGGGCTAACAGTACCTCCAAACCCGATAACAAAAAAATACAATTGGAATAATGGAGGTACTTATTATCAAGTGGATCCTGTCAATATATTATCTGAATTTCAAAAAACTGAGCAAATGTACGATGGATTTCTTCCATCCACCGGACCGACAGGAAGTCCTCAATTTATGCCAAGTTTAACACAACCTGTACCATTTCAAGAAGTATATCCAGGGTATTTGTGGCCACAGTACAAAACTCAACCAACAACACCGACTAACTTTAAACCATCCCTGCAGCTAATCAATTATTCACCATTAGATCCATTTTTCCATGAAGACGAAGGAGATAAATTTATAACCATCACTACAACAAGACCTGTGCAAAAAGAAGAGGAAAAAACCACCCTTCTGTATCCTTCATCAATAAATGAGCAATTGCAATCTTCTGAAAATTCAACTGAAAGTGACGAAGATAAAACAGATTTACAAGGCACAAATACCCAACCGACTGCAAGTTCTATAAACATCATACAAGTAACAGAGAAAGATAATGGAAAAGTGATTTTTACAACAAACGACCTTTCTGAAATACGTTCTGTTACTAACAGGCCAAAGCCTGTAAGTAAGACTACACGAAATAACGCATTAAATAAACTTTCAAGTGCAGAGGCACTCGATTACGCACCACTTTATATCAAATGGGGAGAAAAAATAAAAAATTCGAATAATAAAAATAAGACGCAGACAAAGACAAAATTTTCACAAATATTAAGAAACTCGTCTTTTGCTAATTATGGTCAAAACAAAAGCACAAGCACAACAAAAGCCCCTGAAATAAAGGACAACACTACAACCACAACTGCCGCTCCTCAAGTGAAGAATAATGAAAACTCCAGTGACACCAATGTAACAACTGTTGCTTCACAATTAGAGGCCAATGAAAAATCTAACAAAAATGAAACGTCTTCTCAAATAGAAAAAAATGAAACAACCAACGACACAATAACAACAGCTAAACTCCTAGCACAGAATGTCATGATTGAAAATATAAACAACAAAAGCCCGGAAGAAGTGGTGAACACTCTGACCAACATTGGAGTCCAGAATATGACAAGGATAGAAGGCTATCCTGAAATAAGCAAAGCACTTCTGGACAATTCCAGCAAACTGATCAGCAAACTGACAGAAGGCAACGACCAAATAAGCGACAATAGTGATCCTATATCAGTAGTTATAAACAGAATATCACAGTCTTACTCTTATAAAACTTCTAACGGGCAGGTCAGAAGCCTGAAGAAAATTTAAAATAATCCTTGCGAAATAATCTAAGAAAAATACTAGTCAATTTGTTTTGTTTATATTCTCCTTTTCAAAGTTAACTATTACATAAGATTTTTTTTACAATCTTATAAAAGAATGTTAATAAAAAAACTAATTTTCATTTATGGCAATTGTTAGTAATTTTTTTATGTAAATGTAAGTTTGAGAATAATTTTATACAAAGAAATTAGCATCCAATGCAAAAATATGACAGCCAACTGACTAAAAACAATTATTTTTAAAATGTATTAATAAAAAATTCATAAGATCTATTTAAGCAATTATATGCCAATTACAAAACAAAAAATTAACAAATAATGTTACTTTATTTGTAGAAATAAGCTAAACTTTTGCTATTAGAAAAATTTTCTTTTGTAATGTAACAAATATTTTTTATACTAAAAAATTTAATTACTAATTCTACATATCATAAAAGTGAGTACTCACTGCTTCCTTCAGCCGTGTATTTGTAATAAGGCTCTGGCCTCGAAGGCAGAACACAATCATAACTTCTTGGGACTATTTCCCTTATTCTCTGATGATACGAAAGTCTGAGGGGGGGGGAAAATAAAACTTTTAAAATTTGTACAAAATTATTTTTCTATTTACACACATACCTCATTGTCTTGAGTAAGACTTCCTTTATAAATTTAGGACGCGGGTGTTCGTGGTCGAATTTAAGACTTTCTTCCCAATCCTCCCAGCTCCACCGATACTGGAAATTACTCAAGTGGTACGAGAACCATGTCACAAACCTGGAAATACACAAAATACATAGTACACAAGTTAAAAAAAAGATAACACGTTTATTAATTACCGATCAAAGCAAGCAGTATTCATGTTTTCTATTCGCATGAATAATATTTCTGTAGCCTGGGCTAAAACCTAAAACATCAAATTAATATAGGTAACATAAATATCTCTTTAATTATTTAATCTTACCTGAGGCATTGACGTTGGAAGTAACTTGCAAAGTTCAATCAAAAGTGACCCATAAAATATTTCCAAATATCTTGGCTGAGGTAAGTTAAAAAGCTCAGCAAATATAACTTCGACAACACAATATTCAAAAGGCAAGCTTGCTCGATATGGAAAGTCCAAAAGCACTTGAGCACTTAAATAAGAAAGCAAAATTAATTATGGTTATTTTTGTTAGTTAAGAGAAGGAAAAAATACCAGTCTTTTTTCTCTAAGTGATAGTTTTCAATGATTTGATGAAGGTGTTCTTCAATTAAAAATCTTTCTATCGAATGTGCTCCGGGAAGAACAGGCCCTCTCTAAACAAATTCATTAAAAAAATCAGAGGTTTCTTATTGAGAAACTTTTTTTTTATTAAAAAGGAAAAACATACTTCTGGGCAATCTGTGTAATCAAACATTCTGAAAACTACTGTTGGTTTTGGATAAGTATAACTATCATCATGAGGAGGTATGACAATCGCTGGAAGACTGTGTTGAAGTGCTTCACACAATACAGTGTCAAAAGCAAGATAAGGTTTTGGAATATGTTTCTCTTGCCAGTTGTCTTGTTTCAGCTTCCTGATTTGTTCCCAGAGGCAGTCCAAATACTTAAAAAATAAATGAATGTATAAACTTATGCAAGTTTGAGTTGAATAATTTCCTTACTTCTTCTTGAGTGTGTGGCACATCTATGGTCCAGACACGCAGAGCAGGCACATGCTTTTTACTGCGTTTGTTCAGCAGGACGTCAATGTTTGTCATTAAAAGTTCAAGATCCTTTTCCCTTTTTTCATACAGCTCCCTGCCGACCCAAGGAAGGCAGTAAAGCACCGCATAAATAAACCAAGACTTACGAACCTAAAATTAAACGCAATTCAACATTATTTAATAATAATTAAATATAATACTGAAACTTACATCTGGAACGCCCTCGACTTGAGCAACTTGCAGCATATTGTCCAGAAGGTCGAGTAAAGATTTTGCGTCGATAACATGACAATTGACAAGATCGGCTAAGAACCTGAGCGTATATCTAGCTGTATCCCAATTGCAATTTTTAAGAGCATCTTTAAACATGCGCACCATTTGTTCAACAAACTTAAAAAAAAAAAAAATCAATTAACCAAAGAAAATCAGTAAAAAATGCATACTCATACTTCTCCGCCAAAATTGTAACTCTTTGCATTCATCAGACCAACGATCGTTGTGTAAGTGGTGCATTTTTCTGGCATTTTAACCGCACATTCTGTGAGCAATCGTAAAACTTTTGATCTATAATCGATCAAATATGCATCAAGGACACTCGCCAGACCTTCTAAATTGCTTTCAAGAGAAGCATTGCTCTAAAAATAAATAAGCAGTGACAAGAAAAACTTAAAAAACCACACAAAGAAAGTGATGAAAGTCTAATTATTTGAAAATACCTTTTCTCCTAGATGACATATCAGTGTGTCCAGCCTATCTTCCATTCCTTGGTCATTGGAAACCCTCCTTCTCTTCCGACAATACCTGTCTGCAATACCAAAAGGAAAATGAAAAACTTTACTTCAATTAACATTAGAATTATTTATTTCTACCGAAATCAGACAAATTAGTGGCTTTGAAAAACATTTTTTTTTACAAAGGTATTTCAACTATAAGGTTCCAACAGGGTGCTGTTGTGGCATCGACGGTTTTCTAAGTTTATTGGCTTATTATTTATAAAAGTATTTATAAAATTTCACATTAATTTAACTTAGTAACAGATTCTGGTACTACATTTATGCACAAGAGACAATACTTTCGGGGTGTATAAACCACGGAAGAAATACAATCATTCAAACCAGGTTTAATGATCAAGTTTTTTGGGATGAAATGGACTCACCAGACTGCTATAAGTGCAGAATGGGTGATACAATAGCTCCAAAAGAGTGTATTCCAAATTTTGCACATTTCTTCGATGAGCTCAAGATGCTCCTAGGTAGTGTAGGTTGCTTGGATAGAATTGGAGTTAGTAGATGAAATTATATTATCACCTCCATAAGAAGGATGGCGTTGAGATGTATAAACAAACCAGCATTATAAATTATATAAAGGCTGGGACCAATAATGTTCCCTTATGGGAAACCGGATAGGATCAGTCTTGTCATTAGGATGTTATATAGTAAAAGAACTCCAGGGTGTAAAACCCTGCCAAAAGCTTGGGATGTGGCTAAAAACACACCCGAGCAGTATTTTCTGTTCTCTAAAGCAGATTAAATGTCAACAACCTTGAAGCATAGCTGAAACATGGAATGGCAAGGACCTGAATAAGAGAAGACATCTTAAGAATGGCTTTACCTAAACCTAGGGTGGGTACTAGCTGTTTTAAAAGGAATCTTTTGGGAATTTTGGACACTGTAAGAAGACCAATATGTCTGTATGAGGATATGTGGTTGAGAAATTTGTGGGGTTTAGGTATGAGAGTGACTCGAATTTCCGCAGTGGAATAAAATGATAGTTTCGTAAGATTAAATTGCAAGTGAAAGGTCTTCTTTTGATAGGTTTCAGACAATTGGATTAACATGATATTTTCCTTTTGCTTCAGACTCTCAGGGGGCCATCGTTTAGTTGTGCTCTTAACTCACAGGAGCTTCTTGATATCCTGCCTAACTACAGCAATACCGGGCAGGATCGCAGGGGCTCAGTTTGGAGGATAAGAAGTCCCCCTAGGAGTCTGCCTTTAGCCCATTCTTCCTGTTCTAGTACCCGTACCTTGTACTTTGGAGTAGTGGAATCAATGCCTAATGAGGCATCTGCCTGTATCTCCTGCCTCAATTTCCATTGTTTATTTACATGACCTATCCTTTCAGATGGTTTACCATTTATGAGGCTGCTGCTCTGGCTTCCACTTGGATTAAAATATGGTGGGAAATTTGACAAGACCTCCAGGGCCGCAGTTGGCTGTGCTCACGGCTCCAGTGACACTGAGACAAGTCTCTGGGAGCCAATTAATAGCGTGATTGTTTGGACCTGCAGTCTTGGTCCACCACACCACCGACTCATATGTTAACATTGGTCTTAAGACGCTGGTTATACCCTAGGGTCATTTTGGGGTTTAATCCCCAGTTTTTGGTGCAGAGCCTTCTGCACCTCACCAAGGCATTTTATTTGCTTAAGAAAAATAAGTTGTATCAAAATTATGACTCACTTCATATAGAATCAAGTAGGATGTTTAAAAAAATAAGCAAAGGCTCAATTTTTCCTTTTTAAAAATTTATAAACTGGATCATTTTCCACTAAATTAATCTAATTAAATTTAGAATTTAATATATTATTATTGAGAAAATAAAAAATTGCGCAAGCATTTTAGAATTTTTGGGTTATAAATCAAGGAGATAATAATATTTCAAGTGTATATAGGTCAGATTAAAAAGCACATTTGAAAAATTATCTTCAGCCTGTGAATAAGGAAACTTTCATTTTTCGTGGCAAATAGCATCAAAAACAGAGGTTATTTACAATTGACAAGTTCCAAAGCTCAAAAGAAACATTCATAATCATGAAGTATTTATGTAATTTAAAAAAAAAAAAAAAGAAGTGTTTCTTTCATGTTGTGAAGGACTTACCGTAGCCATCGTCATCGTCTCCCTGATAGGGCCTTCTACGACTCATGTTGAATACTTTCAGTCGAAATACCAGCAGCCAAGCAACCCGAACAACACAAAACTACAAGGCAAGCCAACCTGCCACAACTCATGCAGAACCTACTCCGGCCGAGTAAAATGACTCTGCTTAGGGGGTGACCAGATATATGAACTTTTCAAAGAATAAAATTCAATTTAGGTCTGATCTGCAAATAAATAAAACAGAACTGATTTTATTTATATTGTTTTTTTCTTTATTAAGTGAGAGTCTATTTGGAAAATATGGCATTTATAAAATAATTATCATTATCGGGGTAGAACTTTGTCAAGAGACCAATATTTTTGCACTTTGTTTAAAACTATTATTATTATATTTAGTTGTTTAATTTTTAATTGTTATCTGATCTATTTTGACCGACCTATGCTCACAAATTTTGTAATAGAATCCGACAATACCTAACATAAAAAAATAATAATGCCTGAGATTTTTTAAAGTGTTGACAATTTTTTTGATACTAAATTTAAAAATTTTAATTTTCTTTACAAAATTTATGTTTTGTTTAGCATCAAAAGCTCATCACCAATGTTTTAGTATGTACAATAATTCTAGAGTGAGCTACTTTTGTTAAGGGTCTTGTGACACTTCAGATGTAGATTGTAAGTTTATATTCTGCAAAGGTTCTCTTACGTGTTGTCAATCTGTTGGTTGCCAGCTTTACAGATTAACAAATATTTTATAAAACTAGCATTTTATCATCGTATATAATGTCTGCATTGTTCGACGTTAGAAATTCCTATTACATAGGCAACTATCAGCAATCTATAAACGAGGGGCAGAAAATTAAGGTAATGTCAAATTGTCAAAGACATCAATGTCAATCATGTCTGACTCTTTTTGATTTATTTCTAGGCAAAGACTCCTGAAATTCAGCTGGAAAGGGACATATTTCTATACAGGTCATACATAGCACAGAAAAAGTACAGGGTGGTCATCGATGAAATTGGAAATTCCTCGCCCGACGAGATCAAACCCCTGCGCCTTCTGGCTGAGTACTTTTCCAACAAACAAAAAGCGTAGGTTGATATATAGTTTGTACTGTTTAAAAATGCTAAACTTTGTTTAATTTAACTTTATGTTATAGTCAATCAATCACAGAATCTCTTGAGCAAGCTTTAGCTAACGATAATGGAGAAAATCATACTTTAGTCTTAGTAGCAGCCACGATATACTGCCATGAAAAGAATTACGAAGCTGCTCTAAAAGCGCTTCATGGCGATGATCACATTGAAAGGTAATACTGAACTATTTCAATCTTTTTTTTTCTTTTTTTTACAAGTCACTCATGTCCTTCTTCCAGTATGGCTCTTGCTACACAAATTTACCTTCGCATGGACAGGGTAGATTTGGCAAAAAAGGAAGTCAAGAACATGCAAGAAAAGGATGAAGATAACACACTAACTCAGCTTGCTCAAGCTTGGCTCAACATCGCAATGGTATTATTTTCTCGAATTATTATATTTGCACAATTTTGTTAGTCTTCTCAATGAACCCGTCGGTTGGTCCCTTGACCAAACAATTCTGAGATTTTCCAAAAGGAAACAAAAACCGGTAAAAGAAATTTCAAACAACACACATCAAGTACAAAATATAATGTGGCCTTATGGAATCAGATAAAACAAGCTATATTTATAATAAACGCCGTGTAAGAAACAAAAAAAAGTCTTTGTTAAAAAAAAAAANTATATATATATATAAAATTCCTCTTTACGGAAAAACAACACAATTTCAACTTAGATAAATCAATTTAATACAAACATTATTTGTAAATACACTTAATTGAACAAGGAGCGGGCACATTCCCAAAAGGAACATGGATCCAGGAATTAACAAAAATAAAGAATAAGCTCACCGTTGTTGACTCCAGCTTCTCTAGTCACTCAATGCCTTTCTCCTCGCTTTTCTTACCACTCTTCAGGGAAGAAGGTCCCCACCAGGGTTGTTTGTATACCAAACAAGCAAAATTTACCCATTAATTAATTTTGCAATGTTACAATTATTATTTCGGTTGTTTTCAGGGCGGAGATAAACTGCAAGATGCTTATTATATTTTCCAAGAGCTGATCGACAAGTATGGAAGCAGTGCGGTACTCTTGAACGGCCAGGCGGTTACTTTCATAAGCCAGAAGATGTACGAGGAGGCGGAATCAGCACTTCAAGAGGCCATGGATAAAGATTCCAATAACGCAGATACACTTTTAAATATGATGGTCTTGTCTCAACAACTGGGGAAACCTTTGAAGGTTTGCTCTTTATTGTGTAATTTATTGTAGATCATTTCATTCTTTGGTGGGAAACATTTTTAAATACACTGACAGGCCAAAAATTCCACCCAACTGATTTTTTTTCTTTTTCTCTGCCCTTAATTGGTCTCATTGTTTTTATGAATAAATATTTGTTTATACTATGTTTTAAATTTGGAATATCAATTAAACGTAAACACACTTAATCCTTAGAAATGTATACCTCTATTTAACTTTTATTTTAACTAATCTTACTTCATATCTCATCTCTATTTTTGCATGTTGGTAATTGATTTATTCAATTTTCAGGTTGCCCATAGGTATCAGAGCCAGCTCACAGATTCCCACGCAGACCATCATTTTGTCTCTGATTACAACAGCAAAGAAGCAGAATTTGACAGACTCGCCAGAAATTATCCCGGTTACGAGGGCGTCGCTACTCAGTAAATTAATTATAGAATTTTTATACCATTTGTATTATATTCAAATTATATTTATAATTATAAGGATTAAATATTTATATGATTTTATTAATTATCCAATTATCAGAACATATTTGTTATTATTTCATTCCCTCTATTATGGAGGTGGTAGTGAGATGCCACATGTTCTATGCTGGATACCAAACAAAATGTTCCTTTGGGAGCCAATATGCAGTGCACAATGGCTCTTGGGCTTGGTAGGCTGATGGAAAATATTGGGGTCACTAGGCAGGAAGGCGTCAACTAATGTTGGTTGCCCATTGAGCCACAGGTTTGAGGATGAACTGAAGCTTTGAAAAGAGATAAATATTAAGCAAACAACTGCAGTCCAACAGAGGAAGTTCTAAGGATAACAAGCCCATAGAGAACTGCAAACCAGCAATCTTGGTCATTGCAAGAGTCATCCCTATTGAGTATCCTCTGAAGAGAAAATGGATCTACAATCATGGCACCCTTTCTGAGGAGGTAGCAAGAATTGCCAAAATGGCTTTTTATAAATGGCTTTCTGAATGGACAAAAAGGTCGGACAGATTATTTGGTTATCCAATTCCTGACTGGGCATTAATACTATAGCTCTTACCTTAGCAGGATGGGAAAAATAGAAGACCCAACATACTACACATTCTTTGAATGCAGTGAGAGCCAGTGTGGTTCATATTGGATATGGAAATAAGGCAGATCATGCCTGACAATATCTAGATAATGAGTAAGACCCGCAATTCTGCTCAATTTTTATTATTTGCTGATGATCTGAAAATCTATTCCATAATCACTTCTTCCGATTGCTTACAATTAATTACAAAATTCTATCAATAATGTGCTAACCTGGTGTTCTAATAACAAACTTGCTCTTAATGTTTCCAAATGCTACACAGTTACATTCTCTCATAAGAAACAACCTTTTATTTATCTCTATACTCTCCATGATGCTCTTTTAACGCGAGTTGAGGTCGTAAAGGATCTTGGTGTACTTTTTGATCAAAAGCTCAAGTTTAAAGAACATATTTCTCATACTAACCACTCGGTTTACGAACATACTTCTTCAATAAAAAATAGATCTATGAAGATGCTAGGTTTCATCATCCGGAACACCTATGAATTTAAAAATCCTCTGTTTTGCCCATCTTTATAAAGCTTTTGTACAACCCATACTAGAATATGCTACACTTGTTTAGAACCCATTCTATCTAAATTATTAAAAAATTCTTCAATCTGTACAAAACAAATTTTTAAAAAACTTTCCTACACTCAATCTTCCTCCGAATTCTGCCTACCCTGGAATCCGCTCTGAATTTAAACTTTTCGAACTGGCACTAAGAAGGGATTACTTTGATATTGTTTTTGTATTTAAATTATTAAACAATCTCATTGGTAGTCATTCTCTCCTCTCTCAACTACAGCTACATGTCCCTTCGCACTCTCTTAAAACCTATAAATTATTTTATATTGAATTCCAAAGCTCTAACTACATACTCTCTTCTCCTCTACACAAAATGATGATCAAGAGTAACAACATCTGCAATAGCATTGACTTCTTCAATAGTTCTGTGCAATCTGTAAAAAACCATATCCTACAACCTTAGTTGAATGCTTTTATATTTCATACTGTACAAAATTATTACAATTTATTTCATTTACTGGTTCAACTAATTCTTGCAATTAGTCTTATTATATATTTACAAAGAGTATTATTTTCATTAAATATGTACAGATGGCACTGTGTTCGTGAATAGTTCGGAGGCAATTTAGACGGCCTAACATGATTTAATGGGTATAATAGTTGGAAAACCAGGATGGTTTTCTGCTGGATACGTGAAGGGCTTATTAGTAGGTGAGAGTCCTACACCCCAGAAGAAGTGAGCTAAATAAAAAAAATCACAACTTATTAAGAACTATGGCAAGGAAAATTAAACATTCAATGTTTAAAATAATTTTTTTTTTTAATATTGTCTATAGGATAAACAGAGTCATAATATAAACTAAAATTAAAATGATATCTTGTTTAGAATTTATAATTGACATAACATTTATAGACCCTAATTATTCAATTTATTTTAAATAAAGATATGTTTGATTTGAATTGAAAATACCCATATCATTTAATTTGCTTATAAATAAACAGCATTTCAATAAATTATACATTGACTAGTAGGTCGGATTTGAATTAATGACTAAAATAACCAACAGCTAATGCTATGATGATAAAGTTTAAACCTAAAAGATAAACAATTCTTGATAAAAATTTTACAAAAATACATATAATCGCTAAATGTAAATTGTACACATGTTAAACCTGTAAAGCTTATAACAATCATAAAGTCTTTTATAAACTAACATTGGCATTGTCTTAACAAAATTATTTTTTATATGTATCCATATATAAAACCTTTTTAAGTCTATATATATTAAATAATGTGTTTTTGTACATTGTCGTTGCTTTACAAAATTGATACATTTAAATTTATTAGTAATATATAAAAATATACAGGATTTTAAAGTAACTTTTTCCTTTTTTGAATAAAGAAGTGTTTATAAATTTTCTGTTTGAGATGAATTGTCAGTAGGTGTTTATGTAATTAAAAAATCCAATTGACATTTACTGATAAAATTAGTATAATTCTTTACAAAAAGATATGTTTTTAATTTGTTTTGTAAACATTACATTACTAATATTACATACGTTATTAACCCTAAAATACTAGGACTATGCCTGTCACAATTTAAAGCACTATGTTTTTAAAAGTTCTCCTGAGCTCATTTAGGCAATAATTAACTGCATGATTCATTCTGGACACAGAAAGATTTTTTGCGTCCATGGTCTTAATAAATATTCTTTTACTTTCATTATGAAAACTAAGAAACAATTAATTAGGTAAAATTCTTTGGTCGAATACTTTATCACGAGAGTGAGAGTTTCCAGTCTTCCATTTTCCATTTAAGGCAAATACATGGGGATGACTGGAGGCAAATGTCTCCCACTCTCTTCCCCTGAAACCAAAATTAAAAAAAAAATTAATAAATTATTCTTGAATTTTATAAAAATAATTATTTTAATTATTGCTTTACCGTGTCATGGAATCACGTCTATGTTGGATCTTACAGCTGGTGAGCTGAACCCAAGAAAATCTGACTTGGGCATCTTCCTCATTATTTTTCCAGACGTTATCAGCCTTCCGAAGCCTTCCTGGTGCGAGAAGGCATAACCAGATCTCACAGACCGTCTTGTCTTACGAGCGGAAGGCGTACGCAATATGTCTTGACTTTGTCGAGACCTTACAAAAAAAAGTTATAATACATAAAAATGACACGTTTTACACCATTGATTACGTTTTAAAAGTTTTAAATGTTCTACCTGATACTGGCAAGTCTCTGCTTCAGGCGAACCCTATCAGATAGACTGGGAAATACATCTATGAAGAAAAATCGCCATGCCAAGACTGGTACTAATAAAACTATAACTGTCAGCACTGTTGTAAACCAAAATGTATATTCTGACATTGCCTATGAAACATATTTACATATTAAACATACATAATATGGACATAATTATTGTTTAATTGTTACCGTAGTTAAGGATCCTACATAGCTTCCTCCGATTACATAATTATAAAAATAGTCTAGTATAAAATACCAAGCAAGAGAACCCCATATTGTAATATGGTTAAAGACAGTCCAATATGAAGTATCGAGTGCTACCTAAAGGCCAAAATATTATTGTAATAAAAAACCTATAACAATAAAAGATAATATACTATACCTGTGCAGTGACTACAATTACCAGTATTGTGGCAACAACACTTCCTAGTAACATATGGTCAGATAACACATGGCCCCTTGGAGAAACTTCATCCTTATAAGTCCCTGAAATATGTAAGAAATAAATTATTAAACCTTATCTTGATAAGAATGTCTAATTGTTGTACCGTATGGCACGAGGAATAAAATGCACGATGTATAAAAGCCGTATAATGCGCTTCTCAAGAACTCCTGCTTATTGAAGAGTAAATTTGTATGTCCTGGCGTATACAGTTGAGGATATACAATGCTGTTTTTATCGTTGACATCCTGATCGAAGATACCGATGGACAGAACGGGGAGAGACGTGTAGAAAAGATTGTACACGGCTATGAACATAGGGTCAAAAACCGTCTGAAAAATAAGTTTCATTTTTAAAATCTAGTTGTTACAGACAAGAGTTTTGTATTTACCTGAGCAGAAAAACCACAGAAAAATGCATACCAGAAGTGGCACAGAGTAAAGGCAAAATTTTTGTAGAAGAAGTACCTCAAGAATTTGCACATTCTGTAGTATGACCAACGACCATGTACGAGCAATAATCTTTCTAGGAACCTAAATTGTCCGATAGAATAATCGGATGCAAGCATCGCTTGGTTTCCCTCTAGTCCACTTATACCTATTCCTATATGGGCGGCTAAAAAACCAAACAAAACCTTAGTACTTTTCATCCTGAAAATAATTGAAATGCAATACCTTTTATCATAGAAACATCATTCGCACCATCACCTATAGCAAGGGTGACAGCCTTTTTTGATTTTTTAATCAATTCAACGACCAGCGCTTTTTGAAGAGGTGTCACACGACAGCATATCACAGATTTGCCTAAAAATCCAGTTGATAAAAATTGAACAATGAAGAAAAATATTTAAATACTTACACATGGTGCTGACTTCTAAAAAAACTTTCTCTACTTGTGGATGAAAAACATGAACTAATGAATGACCATTTATCAGAAGGGCAAAGAGTAGACTAGTGTCATCCTCTGAATTATGATGCTTCAACCCATTTTCGCTGTAATTTTATTTTTAAAATTAAATAAAAAAATTTATTTTGTTAATCAACTTTACACTTACGTTAACGTGATTATTGAAATGGGTGGGTGCGAGTTGTTGTTGTGCTGTGCCATGGGATGACCCCCTAACAAAAGAGTATCCCTGCATTTTGCAAGCTGCTTTGTCACTTCTTCAACAGTGTGCCCATCGACGATCATAACTTCCATTTCATCAGTTAATAATTGACATGAATATCCAATATTTATCGCTGTTTCTATATAATTACCAAAAAAAAAGTGTTAGTAATACTAAAAAAAATTTATTTAAATTTATTCTATATCAATAAATACCTTGTTTGTCTCCTGTCAGTACCCATATTTTAATTCCAGCAGAACTCAGACTGGCGACAGTCTGAGGCACACCTTCTTGAAGTTTATCTTCAATTGCAGTAGCGCCTGCATAAAGTAAATATTTATAAAAAGAAAATTATTTAAATTAAAAGAAAAGTTCACAAACCAATAAGAGTTAAATTATTTTCAATTTCTTCATAAATGGCATCTAATTTTTCATCTCGATTGTCCAAAGCTACAGCAGCCTCGTGGTGCCTTTGCTTCCATAGGTTGAAATACGCTTCGTCTAAGTCTCTTACTGCTAAGCATAAAGTCCTAAGGCCATCTCCAGCAAATTTCTGAAAAGATCAAAATCAAATTTAAGAATTTCAAATACTGGTAGTATTTTAGATGGTTGTTGTTTTTGCATACGTTTAAATGTTCTTGTGTTATTCTTTTGACATCGTTGTTGCCCCTTTGAAGCCGTTCATACACAACATTGTCAGCTCCTTTACAATACAATCTTAACTTTCCTTCGTGCCTTAAAATAACTGACATTCGCTTCCTGACATTGTTGAAATCAAGGATGCACAGCAGTTCATGGATCTCCTTTTTACCCAATACCTAAAAGCCAATTGCAACGATTTTTTAAAAATGGGCTGACTTTAAGCCAGTAAGTTTATGTGTTTCTTTCCTACCTCAATTGTAATACTGTAGGGTGTACGTTCTCTAAACACAAAACCAAAATTTCTTGCTGCAGAAACCAGAGCAGCTTCATCTGGGGATTGTGCTTGATATATAAGTTTTCCTAAAAATAAAAAAAAAGTGATATATGTATGTTTTAAATCTCATTTTCATTCTTAAAATAGTATTTTTCTATTCGTTTTGAATATTTGAAAAACCTATGTTGTATGACTATGCATAGGTCATACTTCTCTAATGTGCTTGCTAGTGATAAAGGCGTCAGTGCCCATTATTAAGCGTTGAGCATATTTTACATGCAGATATCCTATAAGACTGTAGGATGAGCTGTGGAGTCCCTGTGACCTATCTGTGACATTATGGCCCAGCAGTGGGCACAGATCACTGTTCCAGTACCTCAGGGCTATCTTAGTTTTTGAATGTATTCAGCATGTTTTTATGAGTGCATTCAGTGTTGGTTGAATTTAAATTGTTAGGGATTTTAACCCATCCTGACGAATATTGAGAACTCTGTGGGAATAAATAAAAATAAAGGCCCAGACTTGTCTTGTGTTGGAAGATAGATAGATAGATATAATGATTCAGGGTATGGTATACTGTGCCCTTTAAGAGCTATTGTATCCCCTGTGCTCTGCTTAAAGCACCTCGGTGAGTCCTATTTCATCAAAAACCTTGATTAATAGGCCCGGTTTCAGTGGTTGTAGTTCTTCTATGGACACATTGTACATCCCAAAACACTTCCTCCTGCGGGCTAGTGTAGCTCCGCAGTTTGTTAGTAAGTGTGTTGGTGTCTCTTCTGCTTCTTTGCAGAATCTGCAGGTTCAATCTTGGATTATTCCAATTTTCTTTAGATGTCCATTTAATCTACAGTGTCCTGTCAGGAATCCTGTTAGGATTCGCAGTCTGTTCCTGCTTCCTTTGACACATTCTGTGATTTCTTTCTTGCCAAAGTTGGTTAGAAGATTCTTGGATTGTCTATGTCCAATAAGTGAATTCCAAAGTTCTCTCATTTTCTTTTTGTCCTTCTGTCTGAGGTATTCGTTAATAGTGTGTGTTCCTATTCCACAGAAGGGTGTCTTGTGTTGGAAAGTGAAAGGATATCCATCCATGGGTTCTTCAACGGTTGTTGGTAAGGGAGCAGGGTTCCTGTAATTAGTGGCACTTTGGGGAAGGTGGGGAACCGAAAATTATGCTATCTGTTTGTATGAATATGGGTTTTCTTGTTCTATTTGACAACCTGACGTAACAACGAGAAGATTGCAAGTTACGGAAACATGAGAAAAATATGGGAGAGTCAGTAAGAAAGACATGTGGAATAAAAAACTGTAGAATTTTCCATTTTTATGTGCAGAGGTATTAAGCGGTCCAGCATTGACCACTAGATGTATGTATGCCCATAACTAAAAGGTACTGTACTAAATACTATTATGTTGCATGACTATTATATCTTTTAATGTAATTTGCTTTTTATAAGTAGATAAAATTTACAAGGAATCAGAAAATTTCAAGAGTGAAACATTTAAATCAAATATTGCTATATAAAATTTAAAAAAAAAAACCTTATGATCCCCTCAGTTTTTATCTTTCTTATTCTTTTAATTCTTAATTAAAAATCATACATCACAAAAAAGTTTTTAGCAAATACCATCTCTTTCTGCTGGCATTACTGTGTGGCAAAGAGCAAGGACTTTGAAGAACAAATCAACATCATTGTCCTTCTGGCCTTTGACAGCATCGAGAAGAGCTTGATCATAAAATGCAAAGTCTGGTTCATAATCAAGATTGAATGAGAAATCTACCCTTGGGGTATACTGAAACAAAAATAATAACATTAATAAAAAAAAAAATTAATCACCATGTGACTCATTTACCTCATTCGGTTCAATTATTTCTCCAGTTTGTTTGTCAAAAACATCTCCATAACATGTTCCAACAATTGAGCATTTATTAAAAGTCATAATGTTCTATAAAAAATATATTATTATTGGTTTATTATAAAATTTACTTGTATTATTTACCTGTGTTAATGTTCCAGTTTTGTCAGAAAATATGTACTGTATCTGACCGAGTTCTTCGTTGAGAGTAGTCGTCCTTGCTTTGGCAGCTATACCTCGTTTCTCGCAATACATTTTCTCATCCCAATTAATTAAAAAACTTTGCAAAAGCCTTATGACTTCAACGCTGAAAAATTTATTCCCGTCAGACTGGCCCAGTTGAACAAACGGTGATAAAATCTCACCTGACATAAAGCGATATTGGCACGACGGTGTTGAGCACGATGGCATACGAGAAGAAGACTAATAGTGATATTATTGTAGCCCCAGCTATCGGGTCACTTGGTACGAGTTTATCCCAAGGTAGATAGACTTGGAAATATCTACCAGTCATTGTCTCCCAAACTCCACATGCCACAGTGCAAAACAGGCATATTGCAATCAAGAAGAATACTATCTGAAATTCACATAAGAAAATTTTAGTGTCTAAGATCTCAATATAATAATTAAATACAAAGTTGCATTATTAGTAATGAGTATATCGGTCATAAAGAATAAAAATATTTTAGAAGATTGTGTTATTTTTTGTCTTTCTTGTTTTGTTTGTTCATGCGGAATAAATATTTAAATAATCCTTCTTAAACTTGAACATTTTTTAAAATTAATTGAAAGAAGTAATTTGATCAATGGACCACCAAACATAATGGATTTTTTAAAATATTAATACACAATTTCTTGTATTGTTCTTTGACAAAGATCTTTATAAAATTATTTTTATGCCTGATTGGTTTTATAAGTATGCATTTACTATAAAATAGCTTTATCACATTGCATAGTAATAATAAAATATTATTTTATTTATTATGGCTTTGTTTTTCATATTAGCCAGATGTATATGTACATCATATGCACACAATATTTAAGGAGGGAGGAAGAATTCTAGGGTCAGAAATTCCAGGGGCGGTAGTGGTAATCAAACAACTGTGGAATTTACAAGCTGAGAGTCTTGACATGCTAACGACTTGGATATCGTACTCCCCCATAAAAAATTTAAATTGGAATCTTTCCTCCTGTGGTCCCCATGGTGATGAATCTGTAATTTGATCATTACCGATCATCTTAGTCTGCCAGTCATCGCTGGTTTGGCTAGATGCATTTCAGTTGTTTTGCCATATTCAGTGCTGGTCTGATAAAAAACAGAAATGGTGGCTTTTTCTTTGTCAACTTGACTACACAAAAATCAAATAGTCTGAACACTGAAGATGGCACAATGCTAAAATGTGCCTGACAAACCAACCTATAGCAAGTATAGGCATGCCTAGGTGAACATTTCGGTAAGGATCAAATTACAAACAAAATTTAACCAAACAATTTTGGAAGTTTCATGTTTTTAGATATGGATGGGATCTCTGCTCTAGCTTCAGCAGAGCCCAAAGTAATACCAATAAAATAATAAACCTAAGAAAACAGGGAAACTAAATGTTTGTGGGTGAGCCTGTGGATATCTTGGTCTGTTCTTGAATAACATAAGTATTTTATTATTCTGAAGATGACCATTACAAAATAGTTGCATGAAATGGACTATAATGAAAGTAATTTTATTAACAAAAGTTAAGCTATTAGCCTTTCAGGTTGGCTTTTATACAAAATATTTGCCTAAAAACTCTTACAGTATAAAGCTGACATACTAAGTTCTGAAATACTTACCCCTATAATGATAAAATTTAAAAGTTTATCTATACTCGTTCGCTTGAATTTTGTTTTGCCAGAGTTTTGCATTAATTTGGTGTCTTTACCAGCAAATATCACAACACCGTAGCACCAATCTGTGTTCCTAAGTATACAACCTCTTAACAAAATTTTATCGTTATCCAGCGGGTACCTGGTAAAATACAATTTTGTATTGTAAAGTTTAATTTTTAAAACATTTTTTTCTAAACGATTTGAAAATTACTTTTTCTCCTTCCAGGTTAAAGTCCCATCAAATTTATTGAGCAAATTGTTAGGGGGTTCACAAATAATTTCCCCGTCAAAATCGGCAATTTGTTCTTCATCTTGTCCCATTGCAGCCGTTTCCTGGAGACATTGCCTTGACTTTAAATTTGTTTCCCTAAAACAAAATAATGTTTCTTAATTTTATATAACAGTTTCTCTATTAACAGTAAAATTCTTAATGTATTTAAATTAATTACCCATCTAGTTCTGCAGTCTCAATGAAACAAAGGCCATTTGGTTCACTCGTGCTGAGTATGAGCACATCAGCCGCTACAAATTCATCATTTTCCATCCTGATTATATCACCAACCCGTACTTGAGACCATTTGCCCTGAACAAGTTTTCCATCCCTTATTGCATAGGCCACCCTATTGTTAACTTGTGCATCACTTGCATGCCGTTCCTGAAAATTAGTATGATTACTGTATGTAATAAAATTGGTTTAATGATTTTTTAAAATTTACGTAATCATCGTAAGCATCTTTGATGGCTGTGAGACACAAGACTCCGATCAGTGGTATGGCAGTAGTGATGGGTGTCAAAGATGAAATTACATTTATCATTTGTAACACCATAAGACAGAGGAAATAAAAATTTGCAAGTCTCTGAAATTGCTCAAAAAGATTGAGAGGCAGGAATGTCGCCAGGGAGTATTTTGATGTCTTAATGTAATTATTCTGAAAAAAAAGATCAAAATGAAGAATCTTATTTATAAAAAATTTTTTTTTAAACAGCAAAGACAAAATAATCAAAAGTTAGCTTTAAAAAATGTTTAGGACTATCTTACTTTTTAAAAATAAAAGTAATCATGTAATTCGATCGTCTATGATCATCCTGGTCTGCCTATTCTAATTGGTCTCGTCCACCAGACACATTTTAAAATTTTGCAATTTTAAATTATATAATTACACATAATCAACATCAAGGTATATTAGAAATGGTGAATGATGGAGTGAGTGCGGTGTTCAGTCCTTTTTTAAAAGATAGTTCCCACTCACAGCAAGTTCTAATTCTTTTTTATAGTTAGCAGGTGTTAATGGAAGTTTTAACATACGGTCTATGAGCCAAGGAAACCAGCAGCTTTTTGGGACCATGGGTGGGAAGAATCCACTGGTATCATAGTGTCGTAGTTGTGGGTTTTTTTATATACGTCTATTAGGTTTTCTATATACAACTATCTTTGTTAATTTCCAATGTAAAATTTATATTACGATGTAGAGAATTAATTAGGTGGAGGAATTCTTTGAGATCCTCTAATGTTCCCGACCATATGCATAAAATATCGTCTACATAGCGTTTCCAAAAATGAACAAATTTAATTAATTTGTTCTTTGATTTGAAAAGATTTTTTTCAAAATTATCCATGAATATTTTGGCACAAGTGGGGATAATGGAGATCCCATTGGTAACCACTTACTGTGAGTAGAAACTATCTTTTTAGAAAGGATCAAGGTATGTTGTCTTAAAATGAAGAATGCTTAAACTCAATCAGTTGTGTGTGCTTTTTAGTGACCGATTGTTAATAATTGTTGAAGTTGTGAGGAGAGGTCACAAATGAAGTATTTTAGAAAAACACTTTTATTCATTTTCTGGTGATGTTTCGACCTTTATTCGGGTCTTCTTCAGGGCAAAGTATGGTGCAGATGACCCTAGTAAAGGTCAAAACTTCAGCAAAAATAAGAAAAAGCAATTTTGTAAAATACTTCATACTTAACCACTTCCTCACAACTTCAGTAAATTATCAATCGTTGTTGTCGTTAATTTTTATACTGCAAAAAATGTCAGCTTTAATGCCCAGGAAGAAATATAATTGATAAAGGAGGATTTAATGGATAAAACCAACTTGGCATTGAAATTTCATGCAAGATAATTTTTTATTCTTTATGTTTGGAACAAGAAAAAATATTAGATGGGCTTTAGATGAAATAGAACAGGTCGTTTGTATTAATAACAAAGGAAAACTCATTCATTGACTGCTTTCTTCACTAACCATGCTATTAAACAATTAAAACATAAAAAAATGATAGTACACAAGGGTAAAGTTCATTTATGTAAGTACTAATGGCTAATAAATCAGAATTGTTTATAAACATTGCTAATTTTATTATAAAAAAGAGGATATTAATCAATCATTAAATGTAATCATTGGAGAGTAAAGTGTTTTAAACCATTGTTTATTTTTATTTTTTAATCATTGTATATCATAAATCATAAATAAAAAATCATATCGAGTGTATGATGAATAATTATTTGCTTGAATGAACAAATTTTATTACAAAGAGAGTTGATGAAAAAAAATTAAAGTCAAGTCTTCTGTGGTATAAAAATCTCTAATTACTATGGACATTTTGCGCATGTCTGTCCTCTGCAGCCCAAATTTAAAATTTTCTGGGTAAGGGTAAGAAGTAAAATTAAGAAATCTGCTATATGAATATTGATAGGCTTGTCAATCAGGGACAGGGTTAGGTCTTGGTTCATTAGTCTGAGTCCTTTATGTATTTTATACGCATTTGTAAATATTTTTATAAATATAATAGAGACATAAACCTTTACAATGGAGGGAATTAAAAAAATATATACATCTAAAACATGGACGCTTTAGTTTCTAATACCTTTATTACATAATTGAATTTTTATAAAATTAATTTATAATTATTGAAGAAAAATTGATGCAGCTTGTCATTTGTACCTTAAGCAAAATAACTTATTGTTATGTAAACCACCAAATAGGAATGTAGATAAAACTTACGGCATATTTGAATTGGGCATTAAATTGGCGATCATTTGCCTTGATCCTCCTTTCAGTCTCTGAAAAAAAAAGTTAAAATGTTAAATTAACATAAATTAAATTAATTAGCTAAAGGAGAGAAAATTATAACAATTAATGCTAGGTAAAAAATTTACTGTGTTTGGGTCAAACTAACTATATTTATTTCAAATCCAAATTCTGACTTTATTTAAAATTATCTTTTAGGATAAATACAGAACTTCTTTTATACAATTTTTACGTGCATTTAGAATCAACGTAAATATTGATATATGCCTACAATTGGCAGGTTGTTCTCTTCTGGGGTCATTTAACTTTATGGGGTCATTCTCTCGGGTCCTATGAATTATTTTCATTGTCGGATGAGTGAACATCTGTCATAGTTTTCTACCGTAATAAATTCTTTGAGAATATTAATGTTCAGGGCGTTATGGAAGTGATAGAATAATAAATGTATGATGGCTTTATCATGAGATTAAATTCTTTATTGCCCTAATTGCACGTCGCTATTCTGCTCATTTGAAGCCAGAGGATATAGTATTGACATAAAATTGGCAGTTAACATGATAAACTCTGGGCAATTTAGCCGATTACTATTTGCATTTAATATTTAAACTTTTGACTTTATTGCTATTTGACCTGATTCTGAGTTTAGATACTGTTTTCAAACAAAGATAAATTCGGTTTGTGCTTTGTACAGTTTTCTTCTTGTTTTGGCCAAAATATTTTTAATAAAGTAAGTAATGTAAAGTAATTTCTGTAATAAGGGAGGGCTTAACAACCTTGGTAGTTGGAAGAGGGGACAGAACCATTTTATACTACTGTTTCCAAATTAATCACTAATAAAATTCCAAGGTCCTTGCCGGGATTCGAACCCTGAACCGCTAGGGCGGCAAATACGAGTGGTTATTTTAATAACAAAGGTTTTGGTCCTGCTGAAAGCGGGACAGGATGGCGCTGCCCGCACATCGGAAAAATAATGTTGGTAATTCTCTAGCGCAATATTTTTTGCAATTCAGTCGTTTAATGAAACAAATTGGGTTCTTTTAACTCTTAGAATGCAAATTAATAAAATATATTAATTATATATTATGTATTATAATCCTTCTAATCCCATTGAATCCACACCTTACACATCGTTCTTTACCACGAAAGCTGCTTTGTACATATTCATATTTTTTTTCACTTTTTATTTTTCCTATGGGTAAACGGTCTCTAATTGTATGTATGTCGCCCATTGATCCGGCGATTTTTCTCGATATTCAAGTTAATTCTGGTAAACAGTTATTAAGTTATAAATTAACATATTTCCAAAATAAAAGTGTCAGTTATTTTAATGCTATTAGATTGATTTATACTGTAGTAAACATAGCATGAAATAAATCCTAAATGTTGATCAATGTTATCAACATTACCATAGAAGAGAATCAAGTTGTTCGGTTGGGAAAATAAAGGCCCACCTTGGGGTTATCTGCGAGTCGAATCTAGGGTCATTGAAACGATACCAGCATAGCAAAAATTACAAACACGCATCATCAGCATTAGTTGATCAGAAGAACACAAAAACTAGCCAGACACTTGTTAATTTCTTTTGAATATTAAACTTCTGAAAATGGCAAAAATTGAACCACGATTTGTCAAATGAGAAGTCGTTATGAATCTGGTTGAACGAACTTTGAAGGCAGTAACGAGATATTTATGATGGTAAAAAAAGTACAATAAAAACAATGAACAAGCAACAGCAAAAATTAATAATTAGCAAACAAAGAACTAGCCATATAAAATTATAACCTATCAATTAATTGGGACTGAAAATTCTTAAATGAGTACGGCTGTTAAAAGTACGTTTATTTAGTTTTTTTCGTACGTAATAAATATAAATTTTCTACACGTAATTTGTTAAATTGTATAAAAATCATCCAATATGCTTCGAATATTATACAAATTAACAATTTAATTTGTTTCAACGCGCTTCAACCAAATGATGAAGTGTCTGGGCATAATACTAGAAGACAGACAAACAAAAGAATACAAAAAGGGAAGGCCAAAGATTTTATAGTTAAAACATGGAATATAAATCCAAAAATTAGCTTAAAGTATACAAATGGAAACTTGTGGCCAAAAACCTAGGAAAGGATGACACAAAATCAATTTTAAAAAATGTCTTGGATTAGTCTGTCTTAACATTACAGGGGCAGTGCAAACTGGCCCAATTTAGCAGTGGAAATAACACTGGGATTTACCACCATGCCGTACATACATCCATAGAATGGTTACGAAAGTGCGACGAGGTTCTTAAACTTTAATGAAAAAAAAGCCTGATCTAAAATTCAAAAAGTATAAAAATAAATTAAACGGCTACAATGTCAGACAAAATGAAATTAAAAGAAGATTTTGACAGACCCTTTCAAATAAAAATAACAACAAGAAATGTTTGGAAGAATAAAACTCCGAAATTAATATAAGAGCTTTATTATAATATACGGATAGAAAATGGAAAGCGGACAGGAGTTAAAGACCAAAATTTTGACCTGGCGAAACCCTTACGCCCTACAAAATCAATTTTCCGAGTCGAGATCAATGCAACAGAAATGTGCGCAATAAATAGTTTAAAAAGCTAAAAGGTTTCTCTCAGACAGCACTGCAGCTGGGAATACGAAATCAGGAAAATCTGATATGGATACCAGGACACGGGGCTTTGAATGCAACAGAGTGGCAATTCGGCAAAATCATGAGCAGCCCTCATACTTTTTGGACCAGAATTGCACATCTTTCTACTTCATTCTGCAAATGGATTGAAAAAATGACCACACACTGGCTGAATTCACCAGGTGCAAAATAGCCAAAGAAGTTTCTCAACATCTTAACGAAGAAAATAAATCTCTATCTCAGCAGGCAAGATTGAGGAAAAATACCCTTACTCTGGCCACTGTACATTCAATTACCACCTAAAAATTGGGAAAATTATGACAGAAACCTGCTGAATCTGTTATGAAACAGCAGAAATATGTCCTATGTGACTGCAAAGCATTAGCCCGGAAAATGTACAGCCACTTCGGAAAGGTGACCCTAACTTCTATGGCGAAGAGGAAACCCGGAAGCTAAACATTTCAAAGGTAGTGCACTTTCCGGGTATGGAAATAAAATAGGGTCAATTCCACAATAGATCTTTTAGGCTGCAGTGGAAGAATAATCATTAGTGACCCCGGGAAAAAAGCCATGTTTACATTCTGCATTTGGCTTTCATTGTGAGTTGAAGTTAATTTTTTTCTAAATTTTACTTTCTTCAATTCTGTCTTTTTACAATTTTTGTAACATTGGAGCAATTTAGCACTGCTTTTTTAATATGCATGTACGACAAGTATGTTGCGTGCTGCAAGGTGGGACATGAAGAAAGAAGATGGTTATATTTAGATTCTCGCAGGGGATAATACTTGTTTTAAAACATTAAGAGAGCTAAAAAGTTTTAAGGGATCGGTATTCTTTTAAAAATCGATATCCCCGTATTCAAGGACTTTGGACGTTTGGTTCTTTTTTAGGCTAGTAAATCCCAATTATCTTCAAGAAAAGCAACGCATTCGGCTATAAGAAATGTAAAAGCCAGTGTGTAAAAAACATACCGGGTCTAAAAGTTTTATGAGTGTTGTGGCTTATGGATTACGACGTTATGATACTAGGATTACTGTTATCGTAAATATGGAATTAAGTAAAGTAATTATTCATACAGGGGCTCTGACGGATTCGAACCCAGAACAGCTAGCGTGACAAATACGAGTCGGACGCCCTAACCACCTAACCTCTAGGTACTATGTGCATACCGACTTAATATGGGAGTAAAATCCAGATTTACAAACACTGTAGATAGACGAGTCCAAATTTACAAATGATGGAATTCTCAACCGAAGGAGTTTCATGGACAGAGTAAAATTCGACAATGAAATATGAAACCCACCGCTAAACCTTCCATTTATATTACTTAATAATATACGCAAAACTGTACTTTGGGTTCTATCACTCACGACACACATACGAACAGACATGAATTAAACACTCTTCGTACTACTAAACAAATTATTATCAAGAAAAATACACGTATCGGGGGGAAAAAAACTCTATAAAGCACTACTGAAACCATCCAACAGCCAAAGAATACAGTCCTCTGAAAGTCTTTAGAACCGTTAACGCTCCCTATTATGTCTTTAACAAGACCCTTCATAATGAGCTCAAAATATCCTTCGTAAAAACCTTAAACTAATTTTCTACGTTTCTGAAAAAAATCTATCCTCACACCACCCCCTACAAGGCCCTTCAACCCCGCGGGGCTGAAGAGTAGATGGCCCCGGGACCCCTAACCAACATTTTAACTGTCAAGAAAAGCTCCTGTCATGTTATTATAATAATGTCAAATGAGAAAAATATTTTAGCTTATTTCACAATATATTTAGTTTGTACTGTTTGATGGTAAATACGGTTAGTGGATTATAGACCACAGTGGACCCCAGGAAAAAAGGTTTATTTCTTGTATTTTTATTATGTCTTTTGGTATTATTTATCTGTTCTTAAATACCATTTGTTAACATTTCGCCTTTGCAAAAAAAAAGTTTTTTTTATTTCTGCGTTTTAATCCGTAGAAATTTGTTCAAATATATTGCTTCAAATAAAAACTGTTATATTATTTAATAAACATTTAAATTTAACCCGACAATACGTCAAGTACAAGACGGTTTGAAACAGGTTGAATGACCTTTGAAGGTTGCTAATTTAAGATGATAATAGCATGCAGGACAAAAATTACCAGAACGGGTCAGAAATCGTTTAGCAAAAAAACACAAGGAAACTAAAAAGTAAAACCCAACAAAACAAAATTGCGTTCATTTATATAATTTTAAAGAAATATTCTTCAGCAGCCATAAATTCACATTTTCATTAATTATTTGTAAATACAGTGAACCCTCCGATAAGGGATTCACCCGTTAGGGACTTGGGGACACGTCCGTTTACAGGACAGTTACGACAATGGTTAGTTGGACATTAAGCCCTC